AGATCCCAGGAACATGATCTTGAAAAATGGAAAGAAAACTGTCTTAACAGAATCTCTGAAAACAAAGTCATTCTGAATGCTTCTTTGTCACAAGGAAGATGGATTGTGGAAAATTACACAACTTCACAATCAAGGCGTTGGGGGTGTTTACACTAGAACAGCTAAATTGCCCTAGCAAGCATTATTGTGGTGGATCCATCACTGCATAGAAGTGGCAAGTATTCTCTGTAGCTCACTGTCTCTTCCTGTAAGTACACTCACAAGCTCTTTGTACATTTCCAGCTGCAATATATAACAAATAAAAGTATTTTGCTGTAGCTAGTCAAAATGCAAAGCATGATTACCACAATAACATAAGCCACATTTTCAGTTGTAAGTGAAACTAAAAGGAACATTATTTTACATGATAAATTACATTATTAAGGAATATTCTGTTTTCAGGCTCGTGTATATCTGTGGAATAATTATGTGTGTCAGTTGTCATTTATAATTTTTAATTATTTGATCTTGTTGTTACTTGTTCTTTTATTGTGTCTGTTAAGTCTGAGTGTCTTTAGTTTGCAGAATCTGCGGATGCTCACAGTTGTTTCATTTTCTTTTTGCTCTGGACTGGCAGGGTGATTCTGGAGGTCTACTTATGTGTGAGGCTGATAAAACATACCTGTCAGGGATCGATCACTAGCTGGGGATTGGGCTGAGCAGAACTTGATAAGCCAGGTGTTTACACACATATTTCTCACTATCTTGACTGGATTAAGAGCTCCATGGACAGTGGTGAGTGTATAAATTGGTGGTATCAACAATATTTTATTTTAAAGCTAAAGATATTAGAAGGCCTTTTATGTATCAGTAATATTAGTATTTTACTTTTGCGCAACCAAGAACCTCAAGTCTCATTAATGATGTAACTACTATTCATTTGAGTTAAAGTTAAAATGAGTTTTGTGAAGGTCATCTCAGTTTGTTATGGTATTATCTGATAAATCACTAAAGATAAAATTATAAATCAAGATCTTTCAATTTTATTTAGACATTTATGCAGTTTTTGCTACAAATACATTTGATTACTGACAAAACAACACTTGGGTCTACAGTTTATTATTTATAAAAAACTACTTAAACACACACACACACACAGATGTCTGGTTTACTATCATTGTGGGGACTCTCCATTGGCGTAATGGTTTTTATACTGTACTAACAGTATATTCTATCACCCTGCACCAATCATACACCTAAACCTACCCCTCACAGAAAACGACAGACATTTTTACATTCTCCACAGAAGAAAAAACTAATTCTGTATGATTTATAAGCATGTTTCCCCATAGGGACCTCAATTTAGGTCCCCACGGTCACACCACACGAGTCGTGTGTATTCAGGTTTAAGTCCCCACCGGGATAGAAAAACATGTACACACATATCACACACATATATTGATATTATAAACTCTTTATTTTAGTATATTAATAATAACTTATTGGTTTAAATACTTTAAAGTCGTATTGCAGCCCTCCTGGTTGAGAACCACTGGTATTTGTTAGATGATTTTCTCAGAGCATGACCAGTAGAGGGCAATGATGTTTATTATGTGTCTGTTGTTATAGAGGATAAGACACTATCACAGTATCATGTAAGAAAACTGGTTTGATAGTCTCTTAGATATTACTGTAAATTACCTGTCAGTGCATATAACTCGAGGCTGTCTTCACTGTTGTTTAAAGCTTTAATTGAAAGTCATCATAATGACAGACTTTGCAACGAAGAACTGTTTTGCTAGAGTAGCTCTCCTGGTACACGAAACAAGGGCTAAAATAGCCACAGTCTGCATAGTATAGTGTGAAATGTGATAATATGGAAGGCACTGTATCAAAGCAACAATACACTGGTAATGGAACATGTTGAAGGAACATGAACTTAGGTCAGCCTTCATAAACAGAAAAAAAAAATCTATACAGACTACCTTATTTTCATGTTGACAGGAAAATCTACCCTGCCTGTTCCTCTGTGTGGGTCATATTCCTTCTTTAGCGTTTATTCTCTCCATGGCCCCTCCCCGTGGGAAAGCTGGCCTCATGTGATTGTGGTGGCCCATGCTGGAAGCTGTGGTCACAGCAGTGACTCTACTGGTGCCAAAAGAATGGAGGACTGAACCCACACATGCACACACACACTCAAGCCTAAACGTTCACTAACATAAACACACACCACGCTCACACGCGAGTCTCTCTACACACAGTCCATAAGCCACTCACAGGAGAATCTGCCCCTCGTTGCGCCACATCCCTCACAGACACACAGTCCTGCCACAGTCTAGCACACGCGTACACACATTCCATGCCCATTTTAAAGTTCAAACTGAGGAAAACACAAGCAAACAAACAACAATCCAAGAATAAAAAATTCACTCCATCACATCACCATAGACCAACACTTTGATTTTTTTGTTTTAATTGCCCTTTTAGTGGTCAAACACATGATTATTCAGTTTTCATGGTTAACCCCACTTTTAATTTGAGACCGTCTTGTAAATGATGCATGCCGTCTTTCTGGTGGTGTCGCTGGAAAGCTGATCTGTTTCTTATGAGTCAGACATAATGGATGCCCTCTGTCACAGAATGTGATAATTTGTACTTTTGTTTAAATGCAATTTTGTTTAATTTTTTGTGCATTACCAGTTTCTAGAATATTTGATTCTGACTGTCAGATATTTCCTAAAAATCAGTGTTGTGCATGGCAATGCTGTACAGGGAGAAACATTTGGGTTCCAAAAGTAAAGATCCCATTGATTTAATGATAACTGACTTAATAATAAGAAATCGACTGTGAGTGACAAGGTTGTTAATCGATAATACATGCTTTTGTTGAAGCCATAAGCCCACATTATTTCAACTTATTTTTGAAATAATGATATTTAAAGCCAGAATTCCTTGTGAAAACTACATTGCATATGTAATCATGCCAGAAAACTCTTTAGCAATGCCCGTTCCCATGAAGCACTGCAAATTATAAACATTCAGTTTCCCTATAAGCTCTCAAACTACTTAAATGTTTGTTTATGCATACTTTGCAATAAACGTATCATATATTGTTTCTAACATAATAAGCATTTTTAAATCAATAGTTTTATATTCCTCCATTTGGTAACACGTTATTTTAAGGTGTCCTTGTTACACATGTTACATATACTTACTATTATAATAACAATTAATTATGCATAATTACATGCAAGTAACCCTAAGCCAAACCCAAATCCTAACCCTAACCATATACAGTAGTAAGTGCATGTAGTTAATTAATATTACTCAGTACTTAAATGTATAATTACACCGTAAAATAAAGCGTAACCCTCCATTTTAATTTTTTTATAACCATATTATAGTTCTTTCCCTCATTAAAGCCATTAAGTCTTGTACCTTTGTCTTTTTGTTCGATTAAATCAAATTCACCTCATAGCTTGTTGGTTTGTTTCATGGCTTACGACTTTTTTTTTTTAAAATTCCAATGGGAAAAAGTGAATGGGACTATTCTTAGCTGATACTTTAAGGTAATATATAGGTAAAATTATGAAGTAACTTCCATGTGTAATGTGGGGATAGTGTAGGCCTACTGTCAGCAGGTTATTACAAAATAAACAAAACAAAAAAACAACTCCCTTCAGGGTGATACAAGACCCCTCCATTACACATTGTGGTTCTGATCACCCTGCCAGCTTTAATAACTGACTTTGACTATACAATACATTATCTCTTACATAGTGTTCTGTTTCTTCAATGTATAAATGTGAGGATATGTGTGCGACGAGATCCATTTTTTGTTTTCTGTGAGTTTTGAAGAGAGTGGGTTCGTTTGGTTTCACTATAATTACAGCCTGTAGATGGAGAGTGGTTGGCAGAGGCATTGAGAGGGCACACAGTGCGCCTGGTTTCCTCTTGCTGTTGCAGGATCAGGGCCAGCAGCCACCATGTTTTCACTGAGTGGCCACCGTACCGCAGTGTTCTCATCATCCTCACTGGAGACAGCTAAAGCAAACAAGATGCTCTAAATGGCACCTTACTCTTATATCACCTAGAGGAGTCTTTTAGATAAGAGTCAGTTTGTGTACTTAGTGAGTCCATTTCTGCTTTAAAGGGGACATAACACACAGTTTCTGCCAATCTCATGTTAATCTTGAGTACCTATAGAGTAGTATTTCATCCTTCATATCTCCAACGAGTCTTTAGTTTGATCAGATTTATAAAAGACAGCTTTACGCTACTTTTACTTTTTTAATAGGGTTTTTAGGCATGAGGAAGGTCAATTGAACAAAACATTGGTAATAAAATTTAGTAATGATGCATATGTTGGAGTATTTTGCAGGATTTGTACATTTTTTGAGTTTAAATTTGACTTTTTGATAAAAGAACTCAGCTGGTGTCCAGTATAGAATAAAAAGACATAACATTGCTAATAGTTTTCCTTTCATTATGTGATTCAGGAAAAGGGAACTCTAAGACATTCACAAGATTCGCATACACGACACTGCCTTGAGAGAATTGTGATCGGCTGAGTTTGCGCGAGTGCTGCCATCTTCTGGAAGCTGCATGTATTTGCACACACAAGTAAGTGAACAAGAGGAACACTGTTTTAATAAGGCACATTTGTCTTTATGTAATCTTCTCAAGAATTTCCATCTCAAATGTATGATATATCATGTCAGAATCCAAGTGAATGTATAAATGACTGAGTAAACAAGTACACTAATAAAAAAAATAAAAATAAGATCAGAGTTCTAGAAAGTTCCGGTATCTAGATCTCAAAATCCAAGTTCCTATCACTGAATTGCTTTGAGCCATTCTTTTAACTTAAGCTGTCTTTCTGAGAGTTGCATTTAATTGATTTTACACTTAAATTCTACAGTCCATTTCATTCCCCTCCTATTTTTCTTAGTAAGCAAAATCAGACTGTTTTGTTTAATTATTTTTAAACTCTCAGAAAAAAAGTACAAAAGCACTCAGTCGGTTTATACTAATATGTATTTATGTACTAATATGCACCCTTTAGGAGTACCAAGGTGTATCTTTCGAAAGGGCATCGCCCCAGTGACAGCTTTTGTACCTGTTTTATCTGAGAGTTTAAATGTTGGAATAGTAGATTCAACTGAATACACATTTTATTTGAATTGTTCAATGCTTTGTGGTTCCTTTTAAAGGCGGTAATGGTCATAAATAAGTCTGAATGACCAAGAAATGTATTTTTCCTTTCAGACTGTCATAAACTCCAAACTTCTGATTTAGAATGCCCCAATCTCTGTGCCCCAGGCCTGTCCGGACTTACTGGAGATGCCCAAACCCCTGCGACCTGGGGCTGGAGACCCCAGAGGGGCAAAGGGTCTGAAGGAAATCTGGGGAGGGGAGGAGTTGGAGGAGGATGAGGAGGATGACGGGATTGTGGGTCCATCAGGTGAGTGCTGTTGAAGTCTGTGTGGATGTCCGGGGATAGAGGGCATTCGACGCACCGGGGTCAGCGCTGGACTCAGTAATGCCCCCTGGTTGCTCAAAGATCCCACTCGCAGGGCCGGTGAAGGGTAACCCAGCAAGGCGGCGGTGGCATGGGGGGTCAGATTTCGGCAGGTGGTTGGGGGAAACGGGCTAGATGACGTTGGAGACGAAGTGGATGCCAGCTGAGGAAAGGAGGGCCAGGGCCAAGGAGGAAAAGGCAGAGCAGCGGGGCTCTGGAGGAGAGGGTCCAGCTCACTGGCGCAGTGGCTGAGATGGGACACGAGGCGTGCACCAATGGGATCTGAGGATTCGACCCCCTCCAGAGACCTGAGGTATCTTACCACCTCTCCAACACACTCCCGAAAGCCCAGAGTCCTGTAGTCCACTGCCAGAGCACGAGCATCAAAGTAGCCTAGGAGAGAGAAAACAAATTATATACTTGAGTACCCACAATTATTATGATGCCCTTTTGAGGGACCTCCTTCCTAAAATATAGCTATAAATGTTCATATATAAGGACCCTGGACCCATTTGCAGTACCTTTTAAAAGTTTGGGTTCAGTATTATTATTATTTTTTAAAAACTTTTTTTTATATTTTCAACTAAATTATGTTCTTTTGAACCTTCTGTTCATCAAAGACTCCTGAAAAAAAAAAAATTGTATATATTAACAAGAAATGATAATAAGAAGAAATATTAAGCAGTAAATCAGCATATTAGAATTATATAAATACAGCATATCAGCTTTGCCATCACAGGAATACATGCCTTTTTTAATATATTAAAATATAAAACAATTTTTAATTTGTAATAATATTTCACATTATTGCTGTTTCACTGTATTTTTGGTCAAAAATAAATGCAGCTTTGTGGAGCATAAAATACTTATTTTAAAAACATTAAAAAGATTTCACTGACCCCAAATGTTTAAACAGTAGTGTGGCCTATATTATGAGAAAAATATTAAGCATGATTGTTTTTCAAATTAATAATTAGCTTTTATGTTTTTATGTCTCTGTACTAAAACAGAAAAAAAAACCGTTCAAAATAGTATCTGTAAAATAGAATAGCACAGTTGTGATGAATCTAAATGATATCTGAACAGTCTTAAGAAGCAAATTCTGTAAATTTTAACAGTCAATCAAATTCAGTAAGTTTTAATACATGCAAAGACTAAATTTGATTTTTTTTTCCAGAAGTAAATTCGAGTGGTGTCTGAACATGCAAACATCACTGTTACAGTGAATAATGTAAGTAGTTCCTGTTGCTATGCAGTTGCTAAAGTTTTAGCATGTTCCTGAGTTGTTTCTAACGTGTTCTGGTTGCTCAACAAGACATGATTTGAGGCATCATTCATGCCCATAAAACAAACATGCGAGTCTCGTTATGCCATAAGTGAATATCTGAGGTTATGGACTTGCCAAAATCCATTACCCAGAGAATGAGCAATAGTAGTAGCAGTAACACTGTGTAAGGCCATTAAGGTTCTCCTGCTCAATATCTTCTCTTACCTTTGCCGCCCATGGCATGCAGCAGCTTCAGATGATCTACTGTCATCTGAAGAATCTCAGCCTTCTCCAGTTTAGAGGAGCCCTGGCCAAGAGGGGAAAAGGTACTGGTTTTAGTTTTAAAACTGTTTTATAAAATTTGATATTGTATGTTTAAACTCTGTCCACTCAGCTGTTTTGAAAATATGAAGCATCTAACTGATCCTGTGGCGTTCAGTCTGATCATCTTACCTGTTTTTCGAAGGCACTGGGTACGAGTCTCCTGAGCTCTGACAGACTGTGGTTGATCCTGTCCCTGCGTCTCTTCTCAATTATCTGTGGAATCCAGTGGAATCATTTTAAAGACAGAGCAACGATTTGAAGTGGAAGGCATTTGCTAACTGGATTATTTTTGTGGCCGAGGCCTAGTTGCAGCATTTCTAAGATCAGATTTAGGAAAAAATACCAAGTCAAATAGAAAAACACAAATCAAAGTCAGACAAGAGGACTTAAACTGTAAAAATGCATGTTGCTGCAGAGGGTCATGTTGCAGGGAGTTTTGAAAAAAGGCCAGCATTCACAGAAGAGACCTTGTACCGAGATCATATACGAATTATATACTTGGTCTATTCTTGAACAAGCAGGGGAAAAACAGAGCTAGATTGACGTAAACTCACCCCTCTTCTCTTCTTGCGCGCCAGGATCTGTGAGGTACTGCCTGGAGACATGGACCCAGTGACAGGGCTGAGCAAGAGAAAGAGCGAGCGGGGAAGGGTACAGATTGAAGCTTTGATGTCAATGCATATTGTTGTCATTACTGTACTTAATACAACGCAGAAACGCTGTTGCACATCATCAAACCCAATCTAATTTGTCTTGGGGAACAGCTAGACACGGGAGCGCCGGGGTAAACAGAAAACAAGATTATTTTGGTTTAACGCGTTTTTGGACATTATTGTCAGATGGCTGATATGTTATGATTTTTACATAGTACGAAAGCATTTTCTTTTTAAGCTTAAAAGACATGATGATTACATATCCGCAGGGCAGGCTGAAATGGTGGCTTTTGCGTGCACTTTGAGCACATCAATACATGGTATTATCCTTCAATGTGTATCTGGTTTACATGGGCACTTTCTGCGCTCTGCCAGCAGAATGACAGTGTTTGTTTTGCTTTTACTTTGACTTCCATGCATAACTATTATTTTTATATCATATTGTAATTCCTTTTAACATTAAGAGGCTTAATGCACAAACATTAGGTTTGTTTAGAGGAAAAGAGTCTAGTCCAAAAAGAAAATTAGTTACAGGAATAAACTGTTGTATAGAGTTTTTGCATCCTGGTTAAGAGTTTTTCAAATGCAATAAGATTAGAAACCATTGGTTATCGTAGGGCACAATTCAAAAGGACCAAACGGCGGTTACATGTGTCTTTAGTCTGCTCTTGATTTGGGTCACAGCTTTAAAAAAACAGTATCAAAAAGACTAAATGACGGAGAGAAAAATGCAAAACAGACAGAGAAGGAAAAAGCATGCTGAGCTTAATTCTCGTCAGTGGCACAGCAATAGGAAGATCAAGACTAAGACAAATAAGATCATTATGGGCCTCCATCAGCTGCCCAGTTAGACATTGGCCCTGTGTTTGATTTTGACAATGTGTGTCCGCTCACATAAACTCCAGTGTCATCGTACTCAGCTTTCAGGAATAGTGTAGATGGCAGTGATATGCGCTAATAGGGAGGGCCAACAAGAGGAAATTTTCTGTAGAATCTTGGTTGTAGTATTTGATGATTTTTGGGACGTGACTTTGCTGTGCCTTCATGCAGGATCTATGCTTCTTGGTAAAACATAGCTGAATATATTGAGGCATCATAAAATATTCAACAAGTACAACATAAAAAATAGCAATAAGTGAAAAAGTGCGGTCATACTTTATTTTAATGTGCCTTGGCTACAGTGTAATTACAAGCACTGAGTAATATTAATTAACAACATGTACTTACTATACATTTAGGGTTAGGGATTGGTTTAGTGTTGTAATTATACACTATAGCAGTGGTTCCCAACCCTGGTCCTGGAGGCACCCCAACACTGCACATTTTGTATGTCTCCTTAATCAAACACACCTGATTCAGGTCATCAGCTCATTATTAGACACTCCAAGATCTGAAACTGGTGCGTCAGAGAAAGGAGACATGCAAAATGTGCAGTGTTGGGGTGCCTCCAGGACCAGGGTTGGGAACCACTGCACTATAGTACATACACTATGTAATACTATAGCATAATAATGTAAATACATGTAACAAGGATAACTAATTTTTGTTACCAAAAAGGATTTACCAAATAATGCCTTACCAAAATGGCTTATCCTGGCCAATGCCAAAAATCTTCATAAAAACATATAGCATTTGCATATCTTGATTTGTGAATGTTAAACATTTTATGAATTATTATAAAAGGCACAGTGCATCATAAACCCTGAAGGCCCATGCAGAGTCGCCCATACAGCTGTCAAAAAACACCTTGCATTTTGACAAGTTGCAAGTTGCTATTTTTGCACTAAAAGAACTATGGCTTGTAAATTTAAATTAATACTTAATTAAACTCAACATAAATAGCACTTTTTAACACATGATTCAATCTTTAGAGATTCTGAGTTGTAGTGTGCGCTCTGCATGTACAGTAGAGACACTGACAGCCATATATCACCCCCACTGAGCACATTATATAATGTACACTCAAAGTCCTCACCAGTAGCTGTCTTCCTGTCCAACATCGATCAGTTCGTCTGTGTCCGAGTCTGGGGAACTGTAATCATGAGGTCTCTTCATCGCCAAGGTCCTCCGTCCAATTCTATCCCTGCAAGGGACTGTTAAATCGATGGAGCGATGGAGACGTGCAAGATGATCTGAAATGATCTCAGATGATGGATTCCTCCTCTTCAAATGCAGCTGTAAGGAAAGCAGCCACCTTCTAATGCGAACACGCCCCTCCCTATTTCCTTTTTTCCTCTCCACCTTCTTCTCCTCTATTTCTCCCTTTATCCTCCGACCACAATACGAGCACGCTTGCTTGGGAGTTTTTATTAGACCTCTCTTGCTGACTAAGTCTGGTACTTGTTTCTGCTCTTATGTGTAGTCGTGTTTTGACATCTCCAGACCCCCTGGACTTGAAGCCAGAGAATGACAGTCCTTGTTCTTCTGTGTTCTCTCACTATTCCTGCTTTTCCTGGCCCTTCCTACCTCTCGGTAGCCCTGGCTACGCTCGTCCTCTGGCTTTCTGCTGCAGCAGCACAAGTGACTGAACTTGGGCACTTTGGCAAAGTTGCCAGTTTTGGCTCCCTCTTCCTTACCCTCCCACACTCCTTGCCTCCCTCCATTCATCCCAGCCCCTCATCAGCCCTCCCTTCTTTTTCTCTCTCTCTCTCTCTGTCATTTCTCTCCTTTCAATTAGCCTCATCTCTCTACTGTCTCATCTCGCTCTATCTTTACCCCCTCTGTCCCTCCCTCCTTCCTTCTGTCTCTGTTTCTCTGTCTCCTCTTTTCCACTCTTTTTAATTAGTTTCCCTCCCTCTCTCCCAGGACAATAGGAAGAACACTGTGGGAATAGTGCCTTGGATTTGGACCCACATGCACACATACAGTGGCCCCAAAAAAGTACATGGACAGTCATGGTTTTTATATACTATAAAACTTTATCTTTAAATGTTTGTTTGAAAAGTGAGCTTCTGTTGTCTTTATTTAAAATTAATGTTTTTGAAATATGAGTTTATACATATATATATATATATATATATATATATATATATATATAATGATCAAGAACCATGATATTACAAAGAAATA